TAATCAAAAACCTCACAACCAACAAAAGTCCAGAACCAGACGGTTTCACTGGTGAATTGTACCAAACATTCAAAGAAGACTTAATACCAATCCTTCTCAAACTCTTCCAAAAAATAGAAGAGGAGGGAATGCTTCCAAACTCATTTTATGAGGCCAGAATTACCCTGACACCAAAACCAGATGAGGACAACACAAGAAAAGCAAATGACAGGCAAATATCCCTGATGAACATAGATGCAAAAATCCTCAACAAAATATTAGCAAACTGAATTCAACAATATGTTAAAAGGATCACACACCATGATCAAGTGGGATTTATCCCAGGGATGCAAGGATGGTTCAACATTTGCAAATCAGTCAACAAATCATTTGGTAATGATACACCACATTAACAAAATGAAGGATAAAAATCATATGATCATCTCAACAGATGCAGAGAAAGCATTTCACAAAATTCAACATCCATTTATGATAAAAACTCTCAACAAAGTGGGTATAGATAGAAGGTACCTCAACATAATAAAGGCTACATATGACGAGCCCACAGCTGATGTCATTCCCAATGGTGAAAAGCTTAGAGCTTTTCCTCTAAGATCAGGAGCAAGACAAGGATGCCTACTCTCACCCCTTTTATTCAACAAATTTTGGAAGTCCTAGCTAGAGCAGTTAGGCAAGAAGAAGAAATAAAAGGCATCCAAATTGGAAAGGAAGAAGAAACGCTGTCACTATTTGCAGATGACATGATATTATATATAGAACACCCTAAAGACTCCAAAAAACTGTTAGAGTAAACAAATCAGTAAAGTTGCAGGATAGAAAGTCAATATACAGAAATCTGTTAAATTTCTATGCACTAATGATGAACTATCATAAAGAGAAATTAAAACAATCCCTTTTACAATTGCATCAAAAAGAATAAAATACCTAGGAATAAATTTAACTAACATGAAAGATCTGTACACTGAAAACTGCAAGACATTGATGAAAGAAATTGAAGACACAAATAAGTGGAAAGATATTCTTGCTCATGGATTGGAAGAATTAATATTGTTAAAATGTCCATACTACCCAAAGCAATCTACATATTCAATGCAATCCCTATCAAAATTCCAATAGCATTTTTCACAGAAATAGAACAAAGAATTTTAAAATTTGTACAGAACTACAAAAGAGCCCAAATAGCCAAAGCAATCTTGAGAAAGAACAACAAAGCTGGAGGCTTCATGCTCTCTGATTTCAAACTATATTACAAACCTGTATTAATCAAAACAGTATGGTATTGGCATAAAAATAGACACATAGGTCAGTGAAATGGAATAGAGAGCCCAGAAATAAACCCACACATATATGGTTAATTAATTTACAGCAAAGTAGCCAAGAATATACAATGGGGAAGGGACAGTCTCTTCAATAAATGGTGTTGGGAAAACTGGAGAGCCTCATGCAAAAAATGAAAGTGGACCACTATTTTACACCATATTCAAAAATTAACTCAAAGTGGATTGAAGACTTGAACGTAAGACCTGAAATCATGTAAGTCCTAGAAGAAAACATAGGCAGTAAGCTCCTTGACATTGGTCTTAGCTATGACTTTTTGGATTTGACACCAAAAGCAAAAATAAACAAGTGGGACTACATCAAACTAAAAAGCTTCTGCACAGCAAAGGAAACCATCAATAAAAGGAAAAAGGCAACCTACCAAATGAGAGAAAAATATTTGCAAATCATATATTTGATAAGGGGTTAATATCCAAAATATATAAAGAACTCATACAATGCAATAGCAAAAAACCAAACAATCTGATTAAAAACTGGGCAGAGGATCTGAACAGACATCTTTCCAAAGAAGACATACAGATGGCCACAAGGTACATGAAAAGATGCTCAACATCACTAATTATCACGGAAATGCAAATCAAAACCACAAGGAGATATCACCTCACACCTGTTAGAATAGTTATTATCACAAAAAGACAAGAGATAACAAGTGTTGGCAAGGATGTGGAGAAAAGGGAACCCTTGTGTACTGTTGGTGGGCATGTAAATTGGTGCAGCCGCTACAGAAAACAGTATGGAGGTTCCTCCAAGAAATAAAAATAGATCTACCACACGATCAGGCTATTCCGCTTCTAGGTATTCATCCAAAGAAAATGAAAATACTAACTCAAAAAGATTTATGCACCCCCATGTTCATTGCAGCATTATTTACAATAGTCAAGATATGGAAATAACCTGAGTGTACGTCGATGGATATATGGATAAAGATGATATATATATATATACACACACACACACACAATTGAATATTATTCAGCCATATAAAGGAATGAAATCTTTTCATTTTCGACAACATGGATGGACCTTGAGGGCATTATGCTAAGTGAAATAAGTCAGACTGAGAAAGACAAGATACCGTATGATCTCACTTACATGTGGAATCTAAAAAAAACAAACCCAAGCTCTTACATACAGAAAACAGATTGGTGGTTGCCAGAGGCTGGGGGTAGGGGAGGAAGAAATGGGTGAAAGGGGTCAAAAGGTACAAACTTGCAGTTATAACATAAATAAGTCATGGGGATGTAATATATAGCATAGTGACTATAGTTAATAATGCCATATTGCATTTGTGAAAGTTGCTAAGGGGGTAAATCTTAAAACTCTCATCACAAGAAAAATGTTTATGCATAGTGACAGATGTTAACTAGACTTACTGTGTGATCATTTTGCAGTATATACTAACATCGAATCATTATGTTGTACACCTAAAACTAATATAATGATATATGTCAATTATACCTCAATTAACAAAAAAAGAACGTATGGGCCCACCTGCCCCATACTGGCCTGTGTAGTACCCAGTCCACACCTAAGCCCTGCTAGACCTTGCCCCACTAACTTCCCCTGAAAAAGGCAGACATACCTCAGAGATATTATGGTTTTGGTTCCAGACCACCACAGTAAAGCAAGTCACATGAATTTTTTGGTTTCCCAGTGCATATAAAAGTTATGTTTATACCATTAAGTGTGCAATACCACTATGTCTAAAAAAAAAGCAACTAAAAAAATACTTTATTGCTGAAAAATGCTAACCATCATCTGAGCCTTCAGTGAGTCAGTCTTTTTGCTGGTGGAGGGTCTTGTAAAAAAACTCAGTACCTGCAAAGCACAATAAAACGAGGTATGCCTGTTACTTTCATGGAGGCCAAGGCTGACTATGATCTGAAAACCGAGTACAGAGACAATGTTGCTTTCCCTTAGAAAGCTAGGTTTGTGCTTGCTACCCAACTTTTCAAACTAAACATTATATTGTTTAAAGATGCATACATGCATATATATGGTCAGTCTATAAAGACAAGCTAATAAATGATTAACACCAAAGTCAGGATAATGGCTACTTCCTGGGTGGGGGGTTGGTGATTGGGAGGAGGCATATGGAAGCTCCTAACAGGGCTCCCACACTGTACAACTCTAGGGGATGCTGTTCACATAAATTCTGGCTCCTCAAGTACTGGAGAAAATCCATTTCTTTATCTGAGTAGTGGGTACATAGGCATTCATATTCTTCTTTAAAAAGAATATATTATTAATTCTTTACAGAACAATACATACATTTTATATAGACTTCTGCATATACAGGCATACCTCGGAGATATCATGGCTTCGGTTCCAGACCACTGCGATACAGCAAATATCGCAATAAAGCGAGTCACACCAACTTTTTGGTTTCCCAGTGCATATATATGTTTATACTCTACTGTAGTCTATTACATGTGCAATAGCATTATGTCTAAAAACAACGATGTATATACCTTCATTAAAAAATACTTCGTTGACGGGGCCGGCCCCGTGGCCTAGTGGTTAAGTTTGGCACGCTCCACTCCGGCGGCCTGGGTTCAGTTCCTGTGTGCAGACCTACACCACTCGTTGGTGGCCATGCTGTGGTGGTGACCCACAGACAAAATAGAGCAAGATTGGAATAGATGTTAGCTCAGGGTTAATCTTCTTTGACAAAAAAAGAAATACTTCATTGGTAAAAAATGCTAACCATCGTCTGAGCCGTCAGTGAGTCAATCTTTCTGCTGGTGGAGGGTCTTGTAAAAAAAAAAAAAAAATGCTGTATCTGTGAGGTGCAGTAAAGTGAAGTGCAATAAAACAAGGTATGCCTGTATTACTGATCACATCAGGAGTTGGCTGACTTTCTTTAAAGGGCCATAAATATTTTAGGCTTTACAGCACATAAAATCTGTGTCCCAGCTACTCAACTCTGCTGTTGTAGTGTAAAGGTAGCCACAGACAATACATAAATGAATGAGCATGTCTGTTTCCCAACAAAACTTTATTTACAAAACTAGGTGGCTGGATTTGGCTTGGGGCTGCAGTTTACCAAACCCCAGATTACACAATTAAATCTTTAAAAGAAAAAAACGTAGCTGTGGTTTATCCAGGGGATTGAGAGTCGAGTCTCAAACAAAGGATTCATTGGGGGTATAGTAGGAAGGTCCATAATGTAGCCTTCTGTAATCTATGTTTATTTTTTAATGTTAGGACTAAAATTGATCTAAATTTGTCCTTTTGTGAACTTGGGGCTTTGTCCTCTGTAATGTAAGAAATTGGGAGAATATTGCTGTTCGAACTTTGATTTCATTAGGGAACCATTTTTATCAGAATTATCCAGACTAATTCTTTCATTAATAATAGCAAACCCAACAACAGTAATACTGTCTGCAGTTAAATGGTCATTACAGACATCAGGAGTGACGTTAGGCACTTTACACACGTGACTTTCTCTTCCTCACAACAGTTCTTTAAAGTAGGTATAGTTATTATTTTTTGGTCTCTATTTTGCAACTGAGAAAGGCTGACTTTTCCAAGGTCATATAGGTAATAAAGCAGAGATGAGCCTGAGTTGGTCAGCTTCAAAGTTCAGTCTTTTTTCTACAGTACACTGCCTCTATCAAAGGCATCCTTTTTTAACGCTGCCAAAATCAATTCGGTTTTAGATTGTCTTCGAAGTTTTACCGATTTAGAAGAACTTGATGAGACAGAGTTATATATGTGCCACAAATGCAAAAAGAAACAAAAGTCCACTAAAAAGTTTTGGATTCAAAAACTACCCAAGGTAAGTGTTGAGTTTCCAATTATAATGCAATTTCGAGGAAAATTTGCTTATGATTGATGAGAAGACAGATTACTTTTATAACGTTAGACTATGTGAATAAACCCTTTTGAGAATGCATAATTAAATGTGTCCTGATCACAATTTCCAATGTGTGGAGGGGGCAGGTTTCCTACCACACCACCAACAAGCAATTCTCTGACAGCAGCTGGGTGTCCTACAGTTCAACTCAATTCTGACACTGTCCCCCTGGAGATAGCATCAGATTCCACAGGTTAAAGGCTCAGTCCCACGGGACCGCCCTTTCAGAGGCCAGTTGCAAACCCGGGTTGTTATTTTATGCTTCTGACTGACAAACTACAAGTTGGAGGTTCTCAGGATCCCTTCCTTGGACTTGAGACACCAGTCACAAGTCCAGGCTGTTATCTGTAATTCTGACTGGCTAGAAATCAGAAGTTCCCACGACTTTCTCCTTGGGTTGGATTATTCACTAGAGTAGCTCTCAGAACTCTGGTTTACTCTAGTGATTAAACAGAAAACCAGTTTACTCACTAGATTACCGATTTATTACAAAGGATATTAAAGGATACAAATCAACAACCAGATGAAGAGATATATAGGGCAAGGTCCTTAACAAAAGAGCTTCTGTCCTCATGGAGTTTGGGGCCTGGCACGTGGAAGTATTCTGGTTCCCCAACCTGGAAGCTCTCCAAACTTGGTCCTTTTGGGTTTTTATGGAGGCTTCAATACATAGGCACAACTACTAAAATCATTGGCCATTGATTATCATTCAACTTTCAGTCCCTCTCCCCTCACTGGAGATGGGGAGGGGGGCGGTGGTGGGACTGAAAGTTCTAACCCTCTAGTCACTTGGTTGGTTCTCCGGGCAATCAGCCCCCATCCTTAGGTGCAGTCCAAAAGTCAGCTCATTAACATAACAAAAGATACCTTTAGCGTTCTCATCACTTAGGAAATTCCAAGGCTTTTAGGAGCTCAGTGCCAGCAATGAGGACAAAGACCAAATATATATTTATTATAAATCACAATATCACAGTAAGATATTTGTGGAAGAAAATGGTATCAAGGATCAAAAGAAAAACTGATAGGCCACCTAAAATATTATTTGAGAGACGTTAGTACCAAGTAGTTAATTTTGATTGAAAGATAAATTAGGTGTTTGTTTACAATCTTTGTCCTTCTCTCTCACCTAGGTGCTATGCTTACATTTGAAAAGGTTTCATTGGACAGCGTATTTAAGAAACAAAGTTGATACCTATGTAGAATTTCCACTGAGAGGCCTAGACATGAAATGCTACTTACTAGAGGTAAGGTAATTACTTTTGTTAGAAGGGTGAAAAGATGACTCTTCAGTAAAATTAAGTTCACTGAGAGAGGGTAGAGGTCATCGAGGTAGGAGATACTAATGTCATTGACTACTGGTCCTAACTCAGTCCTGGGATGCTTTCTCCTCCCTTGTTCTGTAGCCTGAGAACAGTGGCCCAGAGAACTGCCTTTACGACCTCGCTGCTGTGGTGGTGCACCATGGTTCCGGGTGAGTATGGCAGCGGGCTTCTCATGGGTGGGAACAGCACAATGAAGACCTGCAGTTTTGCACCACTCTTGATAATTTTCCCTGATCTCCCAAAAAAATGGAGTCAGATACATTAAAGTGGGTGAAGTAGAACTTTCCTTCAACCTTGGTGTGAAAGAATATTCCTAAGAGGATGTTGTGAAGCATGCAGAGAAGACACGTGAAAGCAGAATGGAGAATGGTTCATTTGAGCCCAGCACTCACAACCCAGTTTATTTGTCCACAAAATCCTGAGCAGTCTTTACTCCAAAGTTGTTTATTTCCTTTGCCAATTGGTATTTAAATTGAGGAAGAATTATTTGGGAAATTATTGGAATTATTAGGGAAATTATTTGGAATAACTTACTTCATGTCATCTACTTTAAAGATTCATTTTTTATTTGGTTGAATAATTCTTGATTACTTTTTTCCTGAAAGTTTATATTCAGGGTGTTTACCTTCTGATTTCTGACAATGGCTAATTTTACCTTCAAACCTGGACTGCTATACTTGAACAAATCACTACCCATGTTGAAAATCCTTTTCCCTCAGAACTTTGTAGACATTGCTCCACTGACTTCACCACTCATAGAGTTATAAATGACAAGTCCACTACAAGTCTGATTCTCACTTCTTTATAGGCAACCTGTTTTTTTTCTCTTTGGAAGGTTGTAGGATCCTCTGTCTTTGGACTTAGAAATTACATCAGATGTATTCCTGCTTGGTAGTTGATAGAGACACTCTTAGTCTGGTGTCTTCAGTTCATGGAAATGTTGTTTATTTGTTCCACCCCATTCTCTTATTCTCTCTTCCGGAACTCCTATTAGATGTATAGTGAATTTCCTGGATCTGTCTTTCACACATTTTAACTATTTTTTGATAGTTAATTTCCATCTCTTTCTGAAGACTGCCATGGCCTGTTTTTCCAAATCACCAATTTGGGTTTCATCTGTATCCAAATTGAAGATTAGGTCCTCCATGAAATTTTTATACTGTGGCCATTACATATTTCTGATAACTCTTTTTCATAATAGCCTATTCCTATTTTATGGTTGCAGTATCGTCTAAAAACCATTGATACTAATTAGAATTTTTAAAGTTCTCTTTGGTTTTCTGCATTAAATTCCTCAGCAGTTAACTGCTTTACTTGTTCTTCCTGGTACTTCTCTTTCATGCTGTTTTTCTCCCCTCAAGAGTTTGATGAATTTGGTTGTTTGTTCAGAATCAAATAAATGAAAGAGGGGATTGAGCATTATTGGTAAATGGTAAGGGTTTGTCTGGTGGTTATGAAGGTCTCTGTTCTACCTGCAGGCTTTTCTCCTGCCTGGAGGGCTCCATGTGTGAGTGGATGGGTCATGCTGACAGAGAAAAGCCCTTGATGGCCAAAGTAGGGGGGAAGGCACTTTCCTGAAAGCAGATTACTTTCTTAAACTCAGGTTTTTTCTAAGACTCTGATGGGAAATTTGGTTCTCAGTTTTCCATGTTTCCATAGGCCTTGTCCTATGCTTGTTAGTTGAGGGTTCCTTGTTTGGTTTCTCCATTAATCCAGTGCCATGTGGGGGCCAGCCCCGTGGCTTAGCGGTTAGGTGCATGCGCTCTGCTGCTGGTGGCCCGGGTTCGGATCCTGGGCGCACACCGATGCACTGCTTCTCCGGCCATGCTGAGGCCACATCCCACATACAGCAACTAGAAGGATGTGCAGCTGTGACATACAACTGTCTACTGGGGCTTTGGGGGAAAAGTAAATTAAAAAAATTATAAAAAAAAAAAAAAAAAGAAAAAAAAATCCAGTGCCATGTGAACACTACTTTATAGGTTCTGGAAAATCCTCAATTTCTGGTCAGTTGATGGCACTCTTCCCTATTTTCCAGTGTCAATATATTCCTTGTCATTTCACTGGGTTTTGAAGAGAATAAACATGTGAGCTCAATCAACCATCTTAAACCACAAGTCTCAAGGATTACAGTACTTATTAAAATTTATTATATATCTAACAAATTATATGGTTGCACAGATCCTTTTGTGATTTCTGTAGTCTTATTCCTTGATCTTTTGACTTCTCCCTACAGGGTCGGTTCTGGACATTACACAGCATACGCAACTCACGAAGGTCGCTGGTTCCATTTCAATGACAGTACTGTAACACTGACTGATGAAGACACCGTTGTGAAGGCAAAGGCCTACATCTTGTTTTATGTGGAACGCCAGGCCAAAGCTGGATCAGATAAACTTTAATACCTCCTTTAAATCTTTATTTGTCAACTATACCGGACAAACATTTCCAATTCTCCATAAATACTTGATCCAAGATTTAATTTCATTATGCACTTTTCAATGTCCTATTTTGGGTTTAGTTTTATTTTGTCAATGGTAGTGACTTATTGAAGATGGGCACCAACTAATTTTTTTTTTTAGTTCTACCAGAAAACCTCAGCAGATATTTTGATTTGCTGCTTTAGTTGTAATAATTCAGTTTTTATATGTAGTTTCAAGAACTTAGTTCTATTTGACTTTTTTATATTAATGTCTTCAGTTCTCACTTTGAGGCACATTTACATCATTGCTTTGTTACTCTCACATGCTGAAAGCAAGATACGTTCCTGAGTGTGAAGAGCAACGTACTGCCTGCTGCCTTTCCACAGCTATCATGGAGATCAGGCTGACTCTAAATCAAGGATCATGTGTGCACGTAATTTGTGGCCCACAAGATTTCAGCGACTGCTCAGTAATCATTCTTTTTGCTTGTCAAAGGTAACGGAGAGGGCGTCCTAAGTAGACCAGGTAATTGCTGCTCTTGGTATCTCTCAAGGTTGCTGTTTATCAGCACTAAGTAAATAAATTTGTTGGGTCAGTTGTACCTGTACTGCAAATTCAAGAATTTTTTTTTTTTTTTTGTTTGGGGGTATTGTTTGTGTGTGTTTTCATGGAGGAGATAGGAGTACAGAAAAGTCCCAATAAGACCAAATATATTTAATGTTTAAAAAATTCTGTGACTCAGCTAGATTATCCAGTGAGATGAAACCCTAACTTCTGTTTGCCTTTTTGAATCAGCATCTAACTCCCCGACTAGTGTAGCACCGGGAGTAACTGCATGCTCACTGCAGTCTTCTTGCCTGGCCACCTGAGGTTGAGATGCTAAGCTCCAGAGTTGATTCTGACCATGACCTACACTTCAGGTAACACTGTGGGGTCTGCTTCTACACAAGGAAATTCGAGTCTTTGCTACTCTGGCTTTTAACAATTCTCACTGGCCCATCCTGATAGTAGAGCAAGATGAAAATATTCTCACTTTCAGTAAGTAGAGTTTCTATTCTTGAGTTTAGCAGTCCTTGTTTTAAAATTGCTTTCAAGAAAAATAAATCTAAATAGTGCTTGTACTTAACTCAAATTGAAATTGGAACCAGCTCTGCAAGTATTCCAAGCCAGTCTCTTGATTTTGGGGTGGTGGTGGCATTACTTGCAAATTATTGAGAGAGACAAGGAACTCCAAAATAGGCCTGTAGGCCTGGGACCATGCACTCTTTTCATGTTCATCTCTTGTCCTAGTCATTATTTTCCTTCCTTCTCAATTCAAGGGGCAGAATGTATTTCATGTTAAGCCAGCCAGCCAGAGTTTTTGAAAATCTTGTTTTTTCTATTAAAAGGAAAAATGGTCAAGATTTTTTTAAGCATATGAATGTAAAAGAAAAGTCTAGTGTCTGTTCTCCTAGGTCAGATATTTGAAGTTGCAAGAGCAGATGTGGTTCCATTTCCACTTTAATATTAGCTGGATAAATCCCACATTTTCTCAGAGCAGAAAACATCCGCTAAACACTTGAACGTGACTAGGAGCAAATTGCAATTATGTCTCAACTTGTACTATCCAATCACTAGCCACATGTGGTTATTTAAATTTTAATTAAAATTAAAAACTCAGTTCTTCAGTCACACTAGCCACATTTCAAGTGCTCAGCAGCCACATGGGGCACAGGACCACGCAGGTCTAGGGCAGTCCCATCAATGTGTAGAGTTCTGTTGGACAGCACTGGTCTAAATTTTCACTCCAGAGAAAAAAGCTTTGCCATCATGTTTAGTTGGTTCTTACAACTTAAAAACAGAGGGTCTAGAAGGTAATTAAGAGGGCAACATGGTATTTAAAATAGTTTACAATGCTAAATTACATTACTAGGGCCGGCCCCGTGGCTTAGCGGTTAAGTGCGCGCGCTCTGCTGCTGGCGGCCCGGGTTCCGATCCCGGGCACGCACCAAGGCACCGCTTCTCCGGCCATGCTGAGGCCGCGTCCCACGTACAGCAACTAGAAGGATGTGCAGCTATGACATACAACTATCTACTGGGGCTTTGGGGGAAAAAAAATAAAATTACAAAAAAAAATAAAAATTAGGTTGAACCATGTGAAATTGTGATATTTGATTGTTTTTGATCGACAAAAATGAGTTTCACATAATTTGACCTAATACATTAACACCACATGTAACTGAACTTGAAATGTGCATCTCCTTTGATCTGAGTATCTCCTCTGAATCCAGGCTCTTTTGCTTGGAAGGTACACAGCTGTAACTTGGCACATTTGCACTTAGATCGTTAGTCTCTCTGAATGGGCAGCTGTTATGACTTCAACAATAGAGCCTTGGGCAGCGTTGATGTTGGAGACAAGCTGTCTTTATATACCAAATGGAACTAGCAACAGACTGGACTACTTTGTTGGGGAAAGTGGTCCTCAGACAGGCAACACTGTTGGCTTAAGAGATGAACACATCTCCTGTTTGAATTGCTTGATTTTACTTAAGCAGAAATATTTGAGATCATGAAGGCTCTTTGGAAAAGTGATTGGATCCGTTTGAATTGTGCACTTGAACACCAGAGATGTAAATGTGCCTATTTGTATTTTGAAAATTTAACTATGTAGCCTTATCACACCTATTTTAAAAGCTGATCTTTTTGTGCTCTTCAGGGCTTTTCCCTCATGCCATGTTGTCTCTGGCATGTACCTGGCTGCTCGCTCAGACCTTACGCTGAGGGAGGGCTTCATGCCAAGTCACATGGCTCCTTGGAACAAGAAAACTTTCTCAGAAGTCCTCCCACACAGGTGGGTGATAAACAGTTTGTGGCAACACAAATCTCTCTCCATGGTGGAGAAACCTTTGCTTATCCACTGTATTCTACTCAGTGTCTAATGATGACAAGTATAACAAAATTAAACCAGGAAAGTGTACTGGCCCTGGTTACGTGTTAAATGTGTATCTCACCTGTGGAACCTACTCAGCAGCGTGGTTTCCGGGGTTGGGGACATATTTATTTGTTAAAGCCAAACCTCTCCTTCATTGGTTTAGTGTACATAAGTCTATTTAGATACATACTTATCCCACTTCAACCTCCACCGTTCCGAGCTCTCTCATGTACCCTCTGTTGCTGAAGTGGCCTCTTCACTCAGGTCTTGGAAAAGCTCACGAGCAAAGTCTGTTCCTGCAGCCAGGGCCCGGGTCCTAGGTGACTGGAGTGTAACCACAGGAGCGTGCCCACAGCACAGGAAGAGGTGGGCGTGTGGTGCTGTCATGCGTAGTCCACGGTCCGCATCGCCTCACTGGGTGCGGCACCTCCCCCCTCAGGTCTGAGCATGATGGACTCCAGACTGCCCTCCCCCAGTGCTGGTTGTGCTGTGATGTAACTGTTTGCCATTAAAACCTAGTTTGTATGATGCCGAGAGGATTAATTGTGCAAGTGACCAATTTCACTTAAGTTGTAATCACATCCCTTTTCCGCTTCACCAACCTGAACTGTTTTATGGAAAGTATCATTAAAGGTCTGGACTCTTTCCTTTTGACTATTATTTCGGAACACTTTTCAGTGGAGCCAAGTAAATGATCATGTATTCGCTCAAGCTCTGAGCCTTCTGTCTGTCAGTAGGCAGTAAATTCTTACAGAATCCTTACCATCTGGGGCTGCTGCTATACGTGGGCCCGGCTAAAGTGACCTGTAGGGGCGGAGGGTGGCGGTTAGAGATGCTCTAGGGCCTGCAGTCAGGAGCCTGAGGGGCTCACCTGTGCAGAATGCAATCATCCTGTCTCCTTGTGACGGCAGATCCTATAAAAAAATGAGGTCCGCTTCCTCCTTCAGGCTAGACTCTACCCTGAGCAAACAGGTTTTAGGCTCTGAGCAAAGGATATTGGGCATCTTTTAAAGTAAAACAGGCAAATAAGCGCTGTTGCTAAAAAATAAATACTCCACTTTACGGTAAGCCTCTATACACTACTTCTCTGCCCCCGTGTCCCCTGCAAACAGAAAAAAACAAGAACCGCCCTGTGTCTACACCCATCGTTTTCCTGTTACTTATTTGCCTGTTCCTATCAGTCTTCTAAAATTGAAGACAGGCGCCTGCAGCCCAAATGGTTTTCCTCCAGGTCCCGAATCGCACGTTCCCTTTTGGCAGCTGTGCTGGTCAGAGGCCGTGCAGCTGCTGTTGCTGCAGCCAAGGAGCTGAGCGCCACAGACAACAAGGGAGGAGCTGCTGTCATCACCATCCCGCCGGACCCCTCCCTTCAGGCATGCATGCCACGTGAGCCCACCATGCATTCTGGGATGCCTCCTACAACCCACCCAGAATGAGCAGCAGGGGCCAGTCCTTTGCAGTGCCAGCAGGGCTGTAGGAGTGCAGCTTGGAAGCCACAACGAACCAAAATGACTCTTCCCAGTGGCCAGCGTGCTTACACTGCTCTGCCTTTTAAGAAGCTGAAAGAACTGCCTAGTTCCAGGGCTCAGCCCTCTGAAAAGTATTGCTTGGGAAAGGACTTGGGAGGGAAAGGGGCCATAATAAGGCCTTCTATTAAACCCATCTGTGGTGCTGCCACGTTCACGGCCTTGAGTGGAGAAGTACAACTAGCCCTCTCTGGGCTAGCTGTACTTCTGTCAGCTGTAATTGTGAACAATTAAAATGATTACCTTAAAATATTAGCAGTAGCTAGTTACCCTTTCGTTGAGAATTTCTTTCTTTTACCTGTTTCTTGGTTTACGTTGTTTCTAAGAAAAGTCACCCCTTCCGCTTCACCTTGCAGCGGTGGGGTGACAGAGGCACAGAGGACCGCTGAGACTGACTTCTCAGAGGAAAGGAGCTGGCTTAGAAGGGCTACTTAGTTTCCTTAGCTGCCTTCTGCTTTTAAAGGCAAAGCTGCGCCAGGCCTGACCAAGCCTTCATTCCAGAAGAGGGTCCAGCAGAGTTGCTTATCTGTATTACTCCACACAACTGGAAAACAAAGTATTCCAATTCCAATTAAATGGGTTTGCGAGCAAAGGTAACCCCTGAGGCGGTGTTCCCAGGTCTAGCGGAGGAAGAGCTGCTTCTCACCTCACTGCTGCAACAGCAGAACGATGCCTTGACTGTCAGCATTCCCCGAACAGACCAACTAGTACCCAAAGCCAGTACTTCACAGTAGGGCTGGGTCTAGAGCTGGGAGTGAAGCCCTATGAGCAAACGGAGCCACTGCACAGAGAAATCCTGGTTTCTTCGGGAAGGGAGAACAATGGGTCATACCCGCAGGGAGGGGGCGAGGGGTGGCAGGGGAACTCAAGGTAATCATAAAGAGGATAACTTAAAGGGCAAGCTTACACTAAAATACTTAACTTACAACTGTTTCAAGCAGTTTGTATTATGAGCTACCTCATCCATCCTGACATTCTTGGAAATATGGGCTAGATACAGTGGGACACAAAATTGGAAAAATATAAAGCCAAGTAAACCTAAGTTTAAAACATGACACACACATACAGAAGAACCTTGGAAAGAGAAGCTACTTAAGATCTTTTATGAAACAACTCAGAGTAAAAACAGCGCCAGCTGGGAGGCCAAGGAACTCCCTCTGCCTGGCGGAGGGCAGCAGGGTTTGCAGGTAGTTAGCCTGGCCTGGCAACCGTCACTACTGAGCGAAGATAACAGAGAGGCATTACCCATGGTCTCTGCTTGTAGCTCTGAACACAAAACTGTCACGCTTAGCTCTTTAAGAGACAACAGGCTTCTTCCTAGTTAGAGTGGAGCAAAAGACTCATATTGATGTACTAGAAAATAAAAATAGTTACCATTTACGATTAGAGCCCCTCCCAGGGAGCAGACTGCAAGCCCAGACAGAGGCGGTCTGGCCAGCTACCTCAAATGAGAATGCCTCGGGAGAAGCCCAAAGAGCTCTCTGCTAAACACCATTGTCAGCTAAAAGGAAAAGAAATCCCTTTTAAGGAAACAATTTAACTTCAATAGGCTGCTCTTCTGCCAGGATTTCCAATTCCTCTGAACATAAGGAGAACCACAGCCTGCTGCACGTATGTCTGGGTCCTGGCTCCCCCCGCAGAGCTTCAGCACCAGTTGTGGGCCAAAAATAAACACCATTCCTCAACCATATATGTCCACCAGCCCCGCGCCGGGGAGGAGGAGCAGGGCTAGGTCAGGTCCTGGGCTCCAGCACATTCGGTGTGGCCGCGTGCACCATGCACATCACCCAGCTCAACCGGGAGTGCCTGCTTCACCTCTTCTCCTTCCTGGACAAGGACAGCAGGAGGAACCTGGCCAGGACCTGCCCCCAGCTCCAGGACGTGTTTGAGGACCCTGCACTCTGGCCCCTGCTGCACTTTCGTTCCCTCGCAGAACTCAAGAAGGACAATTTCCTCTTGAGCCCGGCGCTCAGGAGCCTCTCCATCTGCTGGCACTCCAGCCGCGTGCAGGTGTGCAGCATTGAGGACTGGCTCAAGAGCGCCTTCCAGAGGAGCATCTGCAGCCGGCACGAGAGCGTGGTCAATGAGTTCCTCCTCCAGGTGTGCGACAGGTAGGCCACTGCCTCAGCAGCGCTGGCTTTGCTGGCTTTGGCGTCTAGAGCTCTGTGAGGCTTCTCGGGGGGCAGGGAAGAGCAAATCACAAGACCAAGATGGCGATGGCTCCGCTTCAAGGAGCCTCAGACTAGGCCCAAGGAGGACCCTCCAGGCCCCCCACAGCACAGTCCCCGGAAGATGGATAAAATCTTGGGGAAACAACTGCCAATCCTCCTCTTAGCCTCACAGGGCCTAGAGCTGCAGAGGATGAACTGGCTGCAGCTGTGCTGTCCTTTGGGCAGCTGTCCTCCCTGGCAGCCATTAAGTGTTGAGTGGGTCCAGCTGGGCCTGGATTGTCACGATCAGGCCCTGGGAAAGGGTTCCTAAGTTCAGTAATCAGCTCAGCCCTCTGCTCTCCCCATAGCAAGCAAACCCCAAGGCTTGTGCAATGCTGCTGAGGGAGGAGAGCTACGGTGCTCCAGGTTAGCCGAACCCAGCCAGACTCCAGGGCTAGGAGTGCTGATAAACAATAATGGTTTTCCTCATCAGAAACTTACTGATCTTCACGGGACCCCTAAGGGAGGGTGTTTTAGCCTAATTTTTCAAGCAAGGAAACCAAAGCTCTGAGAGGTCATGTGATTCGCTCACAGTCTAGGATTGCCAGATTTTAGCAAATAAAAATTCAAGACACCAAGTTAAATTTGAATTTCAGATAAATGGAATAATTTTTTGGTATAAGTATTTCCTAAATAACATCATCCTGTATTTGATCTGTCAACCCTAGAGTGGGCACAAAGGATGACCATAGGCCAGGCCCCCTCCATGGTCACAGCCTCCTGCCTAGAGCAGCTCATGCAAGAAGAGACTTCCTCGGCCAGGCTCTTAATGGGCCTTTACCAGTCCTGTCCTGCCTTTGAGGAAAGGTCCCCCTTGGTTACTAACTAGGCTCAGCCAGTTTGCTGCCACCCAGGTTTAACAGCTGCTGTTTGCTGACGGCACGACAGGAATGGAAGGAAATAGTGTAGTGGCCCCACCTTGCTTTCTTTTTTCTTTTAAGGCAGTAGGGAGAAAACAGAAGATGGACTTGGCGCTGGGCCCCAGGACCAGGCCATTTTGATGGGTTTAAAAAGGCCCAGAAATCAGACGGGAGGGAGATATGCATGGGGGGGGGGGGAAGCTTGCCCTTAAGCTGTTCCATTCTTGCTGTAAGAGAACCAGTTTTAATCTCCCAAACCAGCATGGTGTGGGGTGGACCTCCCAGGCACTGTCTGGGTACAGCACAGGGCCCCAGCGTCACAAAAAGAGCAAAGGCTTGGTGCTCAGGGTTCTGTGCCGAGTCCCCCAGTTCTGCTACGGTCCTACCACGTGACCCTAGCCCAAATATTTAAACTCTTTCAACCTCATTTCTTCATCTGGAAAATGATAAGGGATGAATTGCCTTATCTCACAGGCTAAAAGGATTAAATGACACAGTAGTACCAGCACATAGTACGTATCAGCAAGTGTCCACCGAATCTGGTGGTTCTGGCAATCAGCTGGGGGGAAGGGAGGGAGGCAGCTCTTTTTTCTCTGGTTTCTTCCTGCATCAGGATTATTCTCAAGGTTCTGAGAGGAAGGGATCACTCAACACCCTTCGGGCTTAAACACCTACTCCTCATAACCACCCTGAAGGTAACAATTTCTCCCATTTGACAGATGAGGTGGCCCAGCAAGGTTCAGACAGCAAATACGTCACAGGCAAGTCACTTGAGCCCTCTGGGCCAGCTTCCTCATTCCCAAACTGGGGGTGCAGAGGGCTGCTGTGAAGACTCAGGCGAGCTAATGAACTTGGGAAGAGGGAGTGGACTCAGTATATGAAATGAGGCTGTGCCCAGTCTACTTTGGTTCCTGAGCCCCTAAGGAGAGGCTGATGGGGAAAGTGAAAGCCTCTGGGTCAGGCTCCAGTTCCCTCTGGCTACAGGGATCCAAGGCCCCGGGCATGCAGGAGACAGGTCCTTCTTGACGGGAAGCAGTCTGGTCCTGTTTGCTCCCAGAAAAGTAGGTTACAATTGCCTATAGAAGGCCCTGTGCAGGCTCTTTCCACCCCAAATCTCACCCCTCACAACAACCCTACTGCTAGGCATTATTCCTTCCCTCCCCCAGCCTCCTCCGCCCCCCAACACAGAGGGAAGCTAAGGTTCAGTGAATGAGTGACTTAGCCAAAGTCACACCGCAAATAAACCAAGTCTAACTTTACTCAAGATCTTTTTCTCCGGCCCGTGCTAGTAAGGCTGGGGCAGAGGGACCTCCAAGCTTTCTGGACAAGCGACCTCTGTGTCCCTGACTGTCCCCACCTCAGGCAGGGATCTAACTACCTCCGGTTCCCGACCATTTCCAGGCTGCCGTCCCAGTGGGGATGCTATAACTGTCCCAGTCAGCAGAGCTGCAACCAGCGCTCTAGAAGCCAGAGCCAATCTTCAGAGGCCTGCCCCCAGGCCTCAAGAGCTGGAATCGGCCTGTCACTAAGCCACCCCCACAGGAAACCCTCCCTCCCTCCCCCGTCCTGCCGGGAGCATCAGGGCCTCAGCTCGAAGCTGAGCGGTCACCACGCACCGCTTCCCTCGCCCCCACCCAAGGCAACCAGTCCGGAGAGAACCAAAGAAAGGACAGCTGTCCCTCCTAGACCCAGCAGCCAGCCCCTGGGCCTCTGGCGGACCGGGTCTTGGGTTCTCCATCGGGAAGAGATTACGGTATGGTGGGGTGCAGTGGCAGAAAGAGCAGGGGAAATGGGACACGAGCCCTGGTTCAGATCCCGGCCGCGCCACCGCAGGCAAGTTCCTTAAACTCTCCGGGCCCATTTCTCCCTCCGCCCCGTCTCCCAGGGCTGCTAGGGGGACAAACGAGCCCGCGAGCTCCCGGACGGGCCAGCGGCGGAGGTGGGCCGGACGCTGTCCTCGGCCCTGGCCGGCGGTCACAGCGTTCTCTCCGCAGGTGCCCCAACCTGGCGTCCGTCACCCTGTCCGGCTGCGGCCACGTCACCGACGATTGCCTGGCTCGCCTGCTGCGCTGCTGCCCGCGCCTGCGCGAGCTGCGCCTGGAGAACTGCGCGCGCGTCACCAACCGCACGCTGGCGGCCGTGGCGGCGCACGGGCGCGCGCTGCAGACGCTGCACGTGGACTTCTGCCG